CCGACCTCCAAAGCAGTCTCTCAGGCAAAAACCCTATTTTCCAAACAACTTTTAAGTATTGTTGACCATCATATCTCCTTTGGTGTGTTTATAATAACCACTGGTGAAGTGTGTGTATTGTCTCACTCTAGTCTAGTCACTAGACCAGAGTGGGACAATACACACTTCACCAGTGGTTATTATAGATCAGGGGTAGGCAACGTTTTTTGGTGGGAGTGCCGAAAACCCCCACAATGCCTACCTTAGAAGGTGCCAGAGTGCCGGCATGCCAGAAAAACAAAACGAGGGCAGGGGGTACACGGCAGGATCCTCTGCCCCCCAGCCCTGCTGCCCTGTGTCCCCCACCCAAAGCCCCTGCCTCCCAGCTCTGCTGCCCCTTGCCCACCACCCAAAGACCCTGGTCTGCAGCCCAGGCTCTGTAGCTGTCAGCAGCTACCCAGAACCTGGGCCAGCTGCAAACATCTGCTGCCTCTCCGCCCTGGCCCCGGCCCCAGCCCCGGCCTCTGGGGAGGCAGCACATACCGGCAATGCTCCCCACTGTGCTGCCCTCGCTACTTCTGCGAAGCAGCTTTGTGCGCAACCCAGTGCGGCAGGGCACAGCAGGGGGCACAGAAAGCTGCCTGCTCCAAGCTTCCACACTCCGACTGCCCTGTGTGCGCCAATGCACCACATGTGTGAGCATTCCTCCTTCACCCCATGCCTGGGCATCCATCCACCATGTCCCCAGGATCCCTTCTCCCTTTAACTCCCTTCCCCATGTGTATGAGAGCTCTGCCACACCCTTGGTTTATCATCTGTGGGCTTTTTTAATGTATCACAGCTTTCAGGTGTCCTAGGCTACAGGTTCCCTGAGCCCTGGGCTGTATCACCTTGCCCTACCCCCTGGGGCAGGGAAGGAGGAGCAAGAGGGAGAGGGAACCCAGAGGCTTCTGCAGCTGGAACAGTGGGAGGGTTGGCAGCTGGATTTAACCAACCCCTTGCAGGCTGCTATGTGGTCCATGGACCACCATTTGGACAACCCTGGCTTTAGCAGAGCTGTGCCATAGTTCCTAGGTCAGCAGTGGGCAAAATACGGCCTGTGTGCCGGATCTGGCCTGCTGCGGGATTTTGCCTGGTTTGTGGTAGGTCCCTCAGTTCCACCCAGCCCAGGTACAGGGGGCAGCCCAGGCTGTGGTGTGTGTGGCTGGTCCTACCACCCCTGCGTGCACAGCAGGGCTGGGATGGCATGACAGCCGGACTCGCTTCCCAGCAGCCCCGGTGACAGTGGCTCCTTCCAGCTGCTGTGGCCCTGACTGGCTTAACTCTGCTGCCTGGGCACTCCAGTCCAAATGTCCTGTACCCACTGCGGGGGGTGTAACCCATGTGGGCAGAGCACATGGCTAGGCAGATAGGATGGAGCTGCGGGTGAGAGGGGAGCAGTGTTTGGGAGTGGGACAGACAGGTGAGGCTGGGATCGCAGGGCAGTGACAGCGTGGGGCTGGGGCAGAGCTGTGATCTCCAGCCTATGTGGCCCTATGACAGCTGTGGGTTCTGCGGATCACAGGGGTGTGCAGGGAGTGGACTGTAGTTCTGTCCTGTGCCCCAGCCCTGTGCTGTCACTGCCCTAAGATCCCAGACCCAGCCCTATATGCAGCTTCCTGGTTGCCTGTGACCCCATCCCATCTGCCTCGCCACATGCCGTTGCTGTGTAGATCCTGGCCAGTCTCCATAGAGACCCTTGGATTGCTGGATGGTGTGGGATTAGGGCCCAGAGCAGAGGCACAATTTGCTTCTTGCATATCCCTGCTTGCTGAGCCAGCGGCCATTGTAGGGGTGTGTGGATAGCGGATCATGACCCTGCCCTGGCCCTGCACTGTCACCACCCTACAATCCCAGCCCCGCCTGCCCTGATCCCCACCCGCCTGCAGTCCCATCCCAACCACCCAGCTGAGTGTGGGTCACATAGGGAGTTTTGGTGAGCTATTGAATGGTGGGGGGGCATTGCTGACCTGGCCCATGACAGCTCACCAAAACTCGCTGTGGCCCATGGGTCCACCCTGTCCTCGGTTATTGTGTGCAGGGTTTGCTAAACTTGTAGTAGATTGTACACATCTTGGATAAAAAACATGTTGTTTTCTCTGTAATTCCTAATACTCCTCATAGACTGTACACACAGTGTTTAAGTGGCAAGATGTAGGAACATCTCTTGATGATTAATGTCATACTGGAACTTTTCATCTGGGCCAGTTTGTTACTGGAGCAGAAGAACTGGACTGTGGTAGCTTTTTTGTCCTCAAAGAAGTCTGGCCCTATTCTTCCAAGTGGTGACATGGTGTCAGCACTGAGACTTTGTACAATGGAGGAACTATAACTCTGTTTAGGTGATGCCCCCTCCCACTGCTGACACTGTCGGTGGTGGCTGTGGGCGGTTCCCACTTGCTGCTCAGCGTGCCGACACCACCATGGTGCCTCCCCAGTCTCGGGAGGCACCAGTTGTTCATGGGTGCAACCATGCTGTTCTCAGATCAGCAGTGCCATGTTTTTTAGAATGGGAAGCATTTGTGAGCTGTGGAGAGCAGAATGGTGTGGGGAGGGGATGTCAAATATCATTCTTTTTTGCCAAGCTGCTTTCTGGTTCCAGAATTTGCTCTGTGAATCATTAGATCACTAAATGCCATTCCCAGGGTGAGAGGAGTAGGTGGCCTGGTAAGTAAGTGGTTGTTTTGAAAATGTGTTGGATCACTGCTCATGTTTTCAACTGTGTACATGTGGGGAGGAACCAGGCTTCCTTGCTGAAGAAACCGAAACGTGACCCTGTTGGACCATTATTGTGCCTGCACTTCTGATCTGTGGAGTCGGCCTTTGCTTAACTGAGGTCCCTTGTTTGTTGTGCCACACAGTGCTGCTTGACTACTCATACTTCCAGCCAGTACAGTATAGACCCCATCAAACCCTACTGAAGATCAGGGATGTGTTTCTGGGCTGCCTTTCTCTCTTTTCCCTGAATCTCTACCTTCTTTCTCTGACCTTTTCCGTTCCCTTTTGTCTCCAAAGTGAATGGCTGTGAGCCCCCGCCAGCTTTGCCTCTTAGAGTTGCCATTTGTGATTTCTTGAAGGCAGACAGGCATGAATGACTTAGAGCCCAGCACAAAGCAATAATTTGTTACAGTGAGTTTTTTTTTCCCCCCTCTTCAGATACAGCACAAAGAATCCTTCTCTGCAGTCTGAGACAGTTCATTACAAGAGAGGGGTGAGCCAGCAATTCTCCCTGCCTTCCTTCAAGATCGATTTCTCAGACTGGAAGGATGATGAGGTAAATCTCTCCTTAGACTCTCCTCTCCAAAACCTTATTGTTCTAGAAGCAGTGGATTATATTTATTTAGTTTCTCTAAGTTGTTATAGCTGAAAAATTATCAGTTACAGCTGCTATAACATGTTTGTCAGTGTGGGTTTGGAGGGCACTGGGAAGAGTGGGTGTGGAACATTCAAAGCAACTTGGTAGATAAGTTAAGGAAAACAAAAAAAATAGGGTGTTGCAATATTGATGTGAGAGGACAAATTTGTGTTGGGTCCTGAATTGAGTGGTGCTAGGACTTGCTGGCCAGGTGACCTTCACGGGTGGGCAAAATACAGCCCATGGGCTGGATCCAGCATGCAAGGCCATTCTTTCTGGCCCACAGGGCCCCTAAAAAATTTAGAAAATTAATATTTATCAGCCCTTTGTTGCCATTAAAAATGACAGGAGCCAGGGGCAGTAGGACCCAGGGGAAGCCCTGGCAGGCTCCTGCGACAGCAGGGCCTGTCCAGCCTCACCCTTCCACTCCAGCAGGGGCTTCTGGCCTGGGACCATGCAGCTGCACCGTGCTGGAAACTCAGGTAAGTGTGGGGGGGAAGGGCAGGGGAGGAGCCCGAGGAAAAGCTGAGCGTGGGGAAAAGTGGCCCTTCCCTCACCCCATGGCTGGCACTCCCTGCTGCAGCCGCTCGCATCCTGAGCAGGCACAGGCAGCCCCACGTGAGCTGCAAGCGGCTGCAGTGTCGGCCACAGGGCAAGTGAGGGGCTGCTTTTCCCTGTGCTCAGCACCAGCTTGTAACCCACCCCCGCTGCCAGCCTGGTCCCTGCGTCGGCTCCAGGCTTGTCCATTGGGGTTGCGCACAGCGGCAGCAGCTGCAGCCTCCCCGCTTGCCATGCTGGGCAATGTTTGCCACCGCCACCTCTGGGTTGCCCAGTGCGCGAGCTGCGGGTGGGCAGCAGCAGCAGCAGCAAACACTGCCCGGCGCAGCAAGCAGGGGGGCCACTTTCCTCTGCACCGAGCAGCTGTGCCTGCCGCGCACAGCCTTGACAGGTGAGCCTGGAGCTGGCACAGGGCCCAGGCTGGCTACAGGGGTGGGTTATAAGTTGGTGCTGAGTGTGGGGAAAGTGGTCCCTCCCATGGCCCGTGGCCAGCGCCCTGTGCTGCAGCCGCTAGCAGCCCGCAGGGGGCAGCCTGTGCCTGCTCAGGACAGCCCTGCGTGGGTTGTGAGCGACTGCAGCAGGGAGCGCCAGCCATGGAGCGGGGGAAGGACCACTTTTCCCTGTGCTCAGTACCGGCTTCTTCCTTGCTGGCGAGCGTGGGGTCAGGGCTGCATGTTGCCCCCTGCCTATACTACGGGGCCCGGGGGCACTGGGAGTGAGCGGGCGGGCAGCCAGCGGTATCATGGGGCCCACACTGGTGTGTCCCAGGGCTAGTGCGAGCGGGGCCCAGAGCAGGGCAGCAGGAGTACAGGGTCCTGGCCAGCAAGCCTCTGGAGCTGGGCCAGCTCCCCCCTCTCCCTGCTGGTGCAGCCCATCCCAGCTTCACAGACCTTTGCCACCCTGTGTCCCGCTTTGGGCCCCACCAGTGCTGGCCCTGGGACATTGGTCCCAAGTTGGTGATCAGGGGGCGGGGCACCTGTCAAGAGGCGGGGCTACCCATGCAGCCCTCAACAGCTTGCCAAAACTGGGTAAGCGGCCCCCTGCCCAAAATAATTGCCTGCCCCTGTTCTGACCATTGGAGCTCTAAGTCAAAGGCCTTGGTGCCATTTCCAAAGGAAGCAGCTTGTTTTTCACTTAATCTAGCTATGATGCTGTTCCAAATGATCACAGAGCTGTTTGGGAGGTTAGAAACATAAACTCCCTTTTAGAGAGGTGCTGGTAGCCTGTGTGTGTGTTGAGTTTTAGAGTTTGCTGAAAGATAGGTGTCTGATTTAAGTAGCAAACCTAATAAACAACATAACTGATATTTAAGTTTCTTTTTGAAGAGACATTTTCTAGTTCAGAAATATTTATAGATGTATATTACCTAAATTTTCATCAAAGGAATAGTAAGAATCTTCTAAGGAGGATTAAATTTGACATCTTTTAAAAAAGTGACATTTATCTTTATGAAAGTTTTGCAATTCCTACTTGTCTTCAGATCTGCATATTAGTAGTATGCATCTTAGGATATCCTATTTGTGTATCACAAATAGGCCTACTATTCATATTGCTTGCTGAAACAATAGGATATTGAAGGGTACGCATGAATCTGTGTACACATATTTTTTAAGATGCTGCAAAGGTAGCTGAAGGTAGAACGGTTATCCATATTCATTCAAGGGTTTCACAGTAACTGAAGCTATGTTGGCCTTGGCTGCCCTGTACTGTGAGTTTTTACCTATGTACTAAGCAAGCTTCCCTTTGCCTGATGGTGATGTAGCCTAATATTATGACATAAAAATGAAAGGGTTTCTGTTAAATACCATCAGCTGCAAATTGTAAAGAAATGTGTGAACTCCAAAAACATATTTCTGTGTGATTAAATAGTTAATACTGCTACTATAAACTACACCTAAATGACAGGTGAAGAAAAATATTTATTTTCCCAGCTTTCTGTGCATTTGAAAGCACTTTGTGTGTGTTCAGTTTCCCCATTCCTCCTGCTTAGTCAGTATTGTTCTGTCCCATAAATCCTAGGTAAGACTTCAAAAAAATCATATCTTTCTACTTGTATCTTGTGTCTACTATTGAATTTCAGAATTATGTTACACCTCATTGTGGAGTAGGATTGTGAACCCAGTCAGTTCCTAGGCAGCCTTTAGATTGTAATCATAGTCCTGTTCTTTTATTTTATTTGCATTTTTTTCAGTACCTGTCAGTAGTTAATCCATGGTGGTTTCTTAATTTAAAATATCTCGTTTTTTATCACTGAATATTAACAACCCATTGACAGAATACCTTTGAAATTACATAAATAGTGCAAGGCAAGGATTTTTGTGGGTGATATCTAAGCCTCTTATTGTTTTTGTTGCCCACCTCTGGACCCTCTAACTTTTTTAAATGTCAGTCCCTGGGAAGATTGTATTATGTCCAGGGTTTATTCTGGCTCTTGTTTCTTGGTTGGTTAATTTATAAGAGAAGACATGATGCTCCTCCAGGAAATCCTAAATCTCATGTTGAGATTCTATTGTAAATGAGTGGAGTTGAGTCCCTTTTACATGTTTATAGGGCTAGTATTTTTAGCTTTGAAAGGTGTTGTTCTAGAGAACTCTTTATGAAGGGTGGGCCTAATCCCAAATATAGTGCAACAATCTTGTCTGCTTACAGTTACAGCAAAGATAGGGATATCTAGTCCTGAGATCCTGTCTGTCCTGGAATGACAATTCACATGTAAGACATCATTTTTCATTTTACTAATTGACTCCCTGTATAGACTCATAGTCATGCAGGTTGTACGTGGCTTTGTTAAAAGAGGATAGGGTTTGTGGCAGATCACTTTCTGCTTCCAGTGGAACCAAAAGATGGAGGGCGCCAGGAGATACTGATGCAGTATTAGATGTATGAGTAATTATGATGATTCACAGTTGTTGCCCAGACACTTGCAGCAGGTGCTTGAAATTTCTATTCCAGGTCAGCTGGAACTGATAGAAGCTAAATTTAATTATTCTGTATTAAATACAATACTAAATTGTGGGCTGAATTGTGGGGTGAATACTAAATTGTGTGGTGAATAAGTGTATTCTTATTAAGCAACTATACCTTTGGTTTTGTGGTGCCACCCTAGTGCTTGCTGGCTCACTTTGGTCAGTACTTCTGCTGTAGCAATGAAATTTTGAAGCCTTCTTATGTTGCAGGGCAGATGCATTTGAGCAGTCTTCTCCTATCTTGTTGGCCAGGTATTATGCTAAAATGATAGGGTAGGATTGGGGTACTTGCAGGTCACAAAGTGACAAGGGGAAGTCTTTTCCCTCCAGGTTCTATAGGGGTCTTCCCCACTCTAACTGGAAAGATAAGAAGCATCTAATAACTTTACTTTTTCACAAACAGGTGTAAGACGAAGGTGGAAAAGCCTGGATCTCCATTTGCATTGTGTCCATTGCCATAAAATCTGTGCCCTGAAAGCTTTGTCCCTCTTAGCAAAGGACCACTGTCCTTTAGTAATGACTTCTTTCTCCAATGGCAGCAAGGTCTGTGGACCACTGAGACGAGAGTAGTCAAGTGCTAGAGCATGATGTTTGCTGTGTTTAAGTTAATGGTCATCAGTTTTGTCCTCACCCCATGTTTGGGGAGTATCTGTCTGCAAAAATAAACTTGATTCCAGGCTGCCAGTTTCCAAATGGAGGCTGTCCGTCCGTATGTGTAAGCCTTGATTTCAATATTTTTTTATTAATTGCCAGTATATTTTGGTATCTGGCCTGCCCAAAGTGCCTTCTTTCACTGGAGAGCTTCCTGTCTTCTGGCTATGAGCCACTTTCATTCTTGGCTTCCTTCCTCTTACACATGAAGTTTACTCTGCTAGTCCTCGCCTTCTGTGCAATAAGTGCCTACATCTCTACCATCATTTCCTTCTCTGCTCTTTTCTTAGTCTTTAATTCCTTTCTGTTCTGTTTCCTCCTCCAGTTCTTGCTTCTGGAGCTATTTTCACACTGGCCTCTGGGATACGAACAGCTTCTGCTTCTTGTGTTGCTCAGTCTTCTTTCTCTTCCTTAACCTCCTTTTTAGGAAGCCTATTGTATTATTTCCCTGTTCCTACACTTCCCCCATTTATTGGATCTATTTATTTGGTTGGCTTGAGTTCAGAACAGGCACCTTGCTTTTTCTGTGTTCTCTGATTGTGCTGATTCCTAGGGCTGTGTGAAGCTTTGGTCGCTGATTCAATTTGGCGGAGATTTGGTCTGATTCGGCAGCCGAATCTCTGAATCCAAATCAAATCAGGAGACCCTTTAATCTCTCCTAATTGAATTGGAACCTTCCGAATTGATTCAGAGAGATTTGATGATTCAGACATAGACAGCTTTAAATGTGTTTTCTACATACCT